TCTGTCAGTGTTTTGCCCTGGAAACATGTCTAAAATGAGCCGTTTCCAAAACTCCTTCTTTGTGACATTACCCCCCCCCCCCCCCCCCACACACACACACACATGCGTCAACTCTGTAGGTCTAAAGGAGCTGCAGCTCTACTTGAGCCCCTCCTGGGTATTGGTTAGCTTCTAGCAGCCTGGCCGGGGATGGGTGGGCGTGGCCAGATTAAACTGTTTTTCTCCAAAGGCGAATTTGCACTGTAGAAATATTTTGTAGTTCCTAGAATCTTATTAGCTCCTACGCTAAGGCAGGGACTTCTGTGGTTCCCGAGGAACTAACGTGACGTCGACACTTGGTGAGCTACGCCCCTTGCTTGATTTCCACATCTTTTCTGTTCTGACTCGGGTTTGTTTATTTAGACCAGACTGGACAGCATCCTGGATCCTCCTGCTGCCGCCAGAACACCTCGCCAAAACTGAACAGGAAATGGAAAACAGTCTTAATCAGTGTTGGGAACGTGACTTTAAAAAAGTAATTAGTTATAGTTACTGATTACTTTGTCAAAAAAGTAACTCAGTTACTAACTGAGTTACAAGATCATAAAAGTAACTAATTACCAACAAAAGTAACTACTTAGTTACTTTTTTCATTAAAGAATGCAAGAATTACTACAATAGTAAAATATAAATGACTAATGACTGGAACATAACAAAATGTATGTCCAAATGTTTTTATAAACCTGAATAATTTAAATAAATAAGCACTTAACAGGAGGAACTACTAATAGTAACATTACACTAATCTAGACTATTAAAAGGTCACTGTGTGATATTTAACAAAAACCCAATCAGCTAAAATTTAAAATTGCAAATAGAAACACCTGTAAAGGTTCCTGAGCCTTTAAATGGTCTCTCAGTCTAGTTAAATTACAGAAATAAATGTAATTTTGCACAGCATTCTAATTTTTCCAGCTTCACATAATTGTGTGTTTTTAGGTTTTTAGTAGCATTTCTGTTGCTGGTAATCTAGTAACGGTTAAATAAATAAATAAATAAATAAAATCCTTTAAAATGACACCAGAAGAGGCACAAGCCTGATGGAGGACTCACATTTACTAACGTGGGTCAGACCCAACCACAGAAGAGCTGAAGCTGGGTGGTGAACACACACAGGTAGTTCTGATAACACCTGAGCTCCATGACGTCTGAGACTGATGCATCAGTGCTACAGCGGGACTAAAGACATGATCAGGAACAGGTTACAGCTGGATGATCTAGGAAGGTAGAAGATCAGGACGTCTGAGCGGTGAACAGGTGAGCGGACCTTCGGGACGTCCCGCTGTCACGCTAAGAAGGGCACGGCTGCAGACCCGCAGATTCGCTGCTGCACGCATTTTCTTATCAGTAACAGAAACGACGTTTTGATACAAGAAGACGAAATTAATTCGTTTGCTCGTTACAGAAAGAAATATTTTTTATTAACGCGGTTATTTTAAACGGAGTTATTCCCGTTGGGTCTACAGCAGCAGTGACTGAGACGGTGAGGGTCTCCGCCCACCCGGCCAGTCATCATCATGTTTGTAAGTGCGTTACCGACACCTCTCTCTCCCTGGCTGCAGCTGAAGTGTGGCGGTCAGAAAGCCTCACACTGCTGCTCAACGTTCGACAAGCACATAATAACGCACAACCTTCCGTCCCTAGTAACGGTAACGGCGTTGCAACGGCGGGAAATGTAATTAATTAGATTATTCCGTTACCTATAAAAGAACGCCGTTAGAAACGCCGTTATACTTAAACGGCGTTACTCCCAACACTGGTCTTAATGCATTTACAAATGTTTCATCTCTTCCTCAGAGGGCTCCAAAACTCTTTAAACTACAGTGCAAACAAAGTAGAAATTCACCAAAAAGAAGGCTAAAATGAATAGATATTAATTTGGTACAAACATATGCTCGCTCTACATTTTAACCCTCACATGTGGCACATTTCTCTACTGGCTCTTGGAGACTACAGATGCTTTTTTCTCCTCTCCCTCCCTCCTCATCCCAAGGCTCTTTGTCCTGTCTTTGTGTGCACGGCACTTTCTGCATCTTTTCTGGAAACTGGAAATTATTAAAAGTGGATCTGGTCAGTTGGTCTCTCAACGCGATTGACAAGATTTTTTCAATGATGAGAGCGGGAGAAGGGGTTCCCGGATGTCCCTCTGGGACAGAGCCAGTTGGGTATATCATGGACTCCTGGAAACAGTGGAACCTGATCTGCCTCTCTCAACTGTCTGTAGAGGATTCTGAAGACGTCTGGATATTCGTGGTGTTGGTGTCAGGTTTCTTGCTGTTTGGCCTGAGAGGTTACCTGGCTTACCAGAAAGTTAATGAGCTTTCGAGGAATATTGGCTCAATCCCGGAGCTCAGGGATGGACTGCATCTCGCTGTGAACGCACAAACTCATACAATTGTCTAACAGAAGATATAAAAGAAAGTAAAAACATAAACCAGTTTAAGGTAAAATATAAAAACCTAATTTTAAATAAGTATAAGAATGAAGAGAACAGGGTTAACCCAGAACGGTAAATGTGGCTGGTTATGCTGCTGTGCTTCTTTTTCAGTGTTTTTTGGTTTGTTTGGTTTTTCTTTTTTCTCCATAACTGGTGAATCTGCAAATTTACACATTCTCTGTTTTCCATATGGTGTTTTGTTTATTTTTTTTCTATATTTTTCTTTCATATGTTGTTTGTTTAATTTAAGACCGAAAGAAAATTAAATGAATCAGAGGTAAAACTTGGGGGTAGGGATAAATAAGTAAATACTTCTGCCTACTCCTTTTCAAACAAATAATGGAATTATATTTTGTAATGATACATGTGTGAAATGTTTGAAATAAAAATGAGCTGAGCTGAGCTGAGATGAGTCGTAAGCTTGGAACTTTGGCTCTGGCACAGAAGGTGGATTCCATCAAGGAGAGAGTTGACGGGTCAGTACAGATTGGGATAGATGAATTACGCCATTATTGGATCTGGAGGGGTTGAAGACCAACAGAACTCTAAGGCAGAGAGGAAATTATCTCTGTACCCAAAACAATTCTTATCTGAATCTAGTGCCGTTGAGCCTGTGAGGCTGAAGTGAAAACTCCCCTCAGAAGAAATGTGGAATGCTGCTGTCGCTATGGAAACCCTTTCTCCCTATCCCAGCCTGGGCGGGACTGTGACCGGTGAAGGCCGTGGAACCGTATATAGGAGTCACTGTGCTCTCTAACCCATTATCTCCCTCCCCTGTCCAAACGGAGGTGATGAGTGCTGCCCCATGCGGCTGCATGCACTGATGTGAGGAGAGTCCCAACCCTACCTCCCCACCTAGTGGACACTTATGTTGTGTAATGTCTGAAGTCTGTGTGCATTTCTGTCTGAGGTGTTTTTTGCAGAGCAAAGCTGCCCTCCCTGTGGAGGGTAACTCTGAAGTGCCTTTTTCCCTCCCCCTGACTCTATCCTCATATAAACCCTTTTGATCTTTTAAGGTAGCGCGACTCTGGTTGCGAATGACCACAGTCACCAATTCTTGTCATGTGTCTATGTACGTATGTCTGATCTCAGAAGTGTGTGTACTGAAACTCTAATTTCCCTCTGGGATTAATAAAGTATCTTTGAATTTGAATGGAATTGAATCTTTTAAAGTCTCATCCTTTTTCCAAACTGTCAGTCACAGATAACACCTTCAGTGATGCTCTGTAACTTTAGAAGCTTGCTGCAGATTTCCGAGTGACTTCAACATTCACACAAAGCTTCAAGTCAGGTAATGGGATTTTTATTTAGCATGTAAACATCACTTTGAACAATGTGACAACTTCCAAAAGAACATTTTATTTTTAATAGTGTGAATTCATGTCTATACGTATGTTCTCTCTGTCAAACGTCCAACCTGTCTGTGGATATGGGTGGTTTTCACTCTTCTCTGTACTCTCACTGAGGTTAGGAAGCTAGGAAGCACGCAGCAGCAGGTGGTATTGTCATTCCCGCTCCCAAAAAGTTCCTAAACGCAGTTTGAACGCAATCTGAAGAGGTTCTAATGAGAGGGGTAGTTCTAGGACCTAAAATCCAAGAGGATTGTTCCAGGAGCTAAAGCGACTCATTCCAGAAGGTACTGGAGATGTCGAGTGAAGCTGATGAGAACGGTTTATGTTAGAGGGGTTTAGTGCAAAGAACTTATGAAAAATGAGAAATGTGTCTCCTGTAAAACACTTAAGAGACTTTATTCCTACTTTAGTTCTGTATTAATGTACGAGTGTTTCTCTTGTTGAGGAGCTTCGCTTTCTCTTGGCATCAGCAGCTCAGCTGAACGAACAGTGACAATTACTTTTGTTGGCAGACATCCTTTCAAAAACCCACTGAGGCCATTAATCGATGATTCACTAAGTACAACACCAGCACAAGTGCTTCACAGCGAAAGAGAGAAGAAAGAAAAACTAGAGCTAAAGATGCATCCTATGCAAGTAGAACCTGCTTAATTTGCTTGCAGATGGTAAACGATTTTCCACAGCTGAGTGACTTATCAAGCTCTGACATGGCAGAGCGTGCTGTTCTTTGTCCTCACCCTGGCATTGCAATCACAGGAAACACACGCTTCCAGGATGTACACTTGCCACTCTACTCCACAGAACAGTTATTAGAAGAGAGGAGGTGAGGGTAAAGGGGGCTCCTGAACAAATCCCTCCACATATAATTAGATTTCTCTGCTGCACCTAATTAATCTTCGTATGTGTGGCACTTAGGCATCTCATTCACAAACTGAGCACTCTTACATTAGCATCATGTTGGGTTTTTAATGCGTTTTACTTGTCATGGTGAGGCGGCTCTTTGTATTCTACAGCTTCTTTGGGTGTGTTTGAAGTTGGGGACAGGTGTGTGTATCAGCGCAGCAGATTAAAAGAAACCAAGAAAAAGATTTGTGATAATGCGACTCCAGACTTTTCAAAGAGAAAAGAGATGAAGAGGCATCAAGCCTTCCCTGTGGAAGGGGAATACGCACACTCGGATGTCCAGCATGATCCTCTTGTCCTCTTCAACATGGATTCCCCAGATACAATCCTGTCCCTTGTCGTAGGCTTCCGGCCAGTTAGGAGAGAGAACCACTCCGGCTGAGTCTGTCATCTCACCACTACACACAGCTGAAACACAGAATACACACAGGTTTGCTGGAGGTACAGCTCAGACTCTCATCTCTAGTCAGTGAGGGCTGCTCTCCTACATGTTGTTTCTCTGCTCCTACTAGGGCTGTCGCGGTTGAGGAATTCCCCCTGCGGTGATTCAGGGTGGCTTAATATTGCGGTGTGCGATATTATTGCAGCACCTTTTTTATTGCAGTACTATCTAAACATAATGTTTACACATTTAAAAAATGTTAAAAATTGCCGTGCCTTCTTTTATAACACTTTACTGAATGCAGATCAAAGGGCAGTAACCACACAGATCGCAGGAACGTTTGTTTCTCCGACAGTCGGAGTCCGACTGAACTTAAAAACAACAAAATTCAGGAGAAGGTTAAACTTTTAAATGCAAATTTGGCTGCAGCATCTAACAAATAAGAAACAAGTCCCCATTTTGTTTAGTTGTTTAAAATCAAGCATAAAAAATTACATGTACCGGGCGCGGGGCACTATCATTTCACTTTCACACACACGAATGACGGTGATTTATAGCTCGGTCACGTCCTTGTTACCCACAAGGAAAACCAGCATGTTAACCATATACGGTTTAAGAGAGGATCTGAGAGGGGTGGCAACATTTGCAGCAACACTGAAAACCCTCTCGGATGGTGCGCTCGTTGCACTAACACACACGTACATGCGTGCGACTCTGGCGAGCAAAGGGAATCTCTCCCGGTTGTTGCTCCACCATGTCAGGGGGGGTTCTTTAGGGTGGATGCATTCCTCCTGCAGGTAGCGAGTGAGCTCCAGCTCGGCTCAAACTCTCTTCGGGACGGTTGCAGAAGCAGTGCTTGTCCGGGACTTCAGCAGGTCTCCGAGCATTTATTTATTTATTTTTGCCGCTGGTGGCAGCTCTGTCTCGGCCAAGGACTCTGGCTGCGCAGCAGCTGACGTACTGAAAACCAAAGTGCTCCCAAAGGAGCGAAGTAACGTTTCGTTTTGATACCAGTGCAGCCATCCTTCTCAACATGCATCATTGAGTTGAACCAAGTTCAGTAATCGCGGTGGCCCGTGATGCAGCGCGGTGGGCTTCTTCATATTGCGATATTTCATTTTTGCGGTTACCGTGACAGCCCTAGCTCCTACACACCTGATCTGAATCAATGAAGATTCTGTAGAACCTGGAGATGCTGAACCGGTAATTTAACCTTTGATTCAAGTGGAATGGAGCAGAGAACAGTGGTAGGATGGTGGCCTTTGAGGACTTTGACACCCCAGCTCTAAAGGAATTTACAATAAACATGACTGTGGATTGTTGAGATCAATAATTTGTCATTTCAAATTTTGATAATAGATATCGGCTGAATGTGATAACCTAGTTTATCTTTTTATTTTCTGCTTGTTTTTCTCCTACTTTTAAGACCAGAGTGGTTTCTGTTATTTTCCAGGAAATCTTACAATAAAAAAGTGCTGATCTGTGGTGCAGTTGGTATCACTGCTGCCTCAAATGTAATCGCAACACCGTGTCTGAGTGGAGTTAGCATGTTCTGTCCATGTGCGTGTGTGTGTGTGTGTGTGTGTGTGTGTGTGTGTGTGTGTGTGTGTGTTTCCTTCCACGGGGCAAAACATCCATGTGACTGCATTTACTTGGCAGAGGATTAAACACGCATTCGCTTTGGTCTTTTACATAGCATTGGCTCTGGATCCCAAGTCCTTGAGAGGGGGTGAACACTCTACTTTGCTGGAGTTGCTCTGGGTGAGAGGCGGAGGGCTGGGGTTGGCTTTTTGTTAGCCCCAAGACTCTCTGCCTGTGTGTTGGGGTTTACCCCGGGGGACAAGAGGGTAGCTTCCTTGCCCCTTCGGGTCGGGGAACGGGTCCTGACTTTTGTTTGTGCTTATGGGCCAAATATCAGTTCAGAGTACCCACCCTTTTTGGAGTCCCTGGGACGAGTGCTATATAGTTCTCCATCAGGGGACTCCATTGTCCTGCTGGGGCACTTCAATGCTCACGTGGGCAATGACAGCTTGACGTGGAGGGGTGTGATTGGGAGGAACAGCCCGCCTGATCTGAACTCGAGTGGTGTTTCGTTATTGGACTTCTGTGCAAGCCGCAGTTTGGCCATAACGAACACCATGTTCGAACATAAGGATGCCCACCGGTACACTTGTTACCAGGGCAGCCTAGGTCCCAGGTCGATGATAGACTTTGTAGTCGTATCATCTGACCTGTGGCCGTATGTTTTGGACACCCGAGTGAAGAGAGGAGCGGAGCTGTCAACTGATCACCACCTGGTTGTGAGTTGGATCAGATGGCGGGGGAAGATGCCGCGTAGACCTGGCAGACGCAAACGCATAGTGAGGGTCTGCTGGGAACGCCTGGCAGAAGAACCTGTCAAAATGGCCTTCAACTCCCACCTCCGGCAGAGCTTTGACCGCGTCCCGAGAGCAGTGGGGGACATTGACTCCGAGTGGGCCTTGTTCCACTCTGCGATTGTTGAGGAGGCTGTTGCTAGCTGTGGTCGCAAGGTGGCCGGTGCCAGGCGTGGTGGCAACCCCCGTACCCGCTGGTGGACACCAGAGGTTCGGGGAGCCGTCAGGCTGAAGAAAAAGGCCTACAGGGCGTGGCTGGTCTGTGCGTCTCCGGAGGCAGCAGACAGGTACCGGATAGCCAAGCGGGGTGCAGCAGTGACAGTTGCCGAGGCAAAATCTCGGGTGTGGGAGGAGTTTGGTGAGGCCATGGAGAAAGACTACCGATCGGCTCCAAAGAGGTTCTGGCAAACTATCTGGCGCCTCAGGAGAGGAAGGCAGCAACTCGCTCACACTGTTTACAGTGGGGATGGGGAGCTGCTGATGTCAACTGGGGCTATAGTCGCACAGTGGAAGGAATACTTTGAGGAGCTCCTCAATCCCACCTACGTGCATTCTAGCGAGGAACCAGAGCCGGGAGACCTGGGGATGGACTGTCCAATCTCGGGGGCAGAAGTTGCTGAGGTAGTCAAACAACTACACAGCGGCGGAGCCCCGGGGTCGGATGAGATTCATCCTGGGTATCTCAGAATTTCTAGGCGCAGCCATGGTGTGGAGTGTGACGAGTTTGGTGGCAGGAGAATCTCGTCTCTGCTTTTTGCGGATGATGTGGTCCTCCTAGCTTTATCCAGCTCAGATCTTCAGCTCTTGCTGGGTAGGTTCGCGGCCGAGTGTGAAGCGGCTGGGATGAGGATCAGCACCTCCAAATCTGAGACCATGGTTCTCGACCGGAAAAGGGTGGCTTGCCAACTCCGGGTCGGGAGAGGTCCTACCTCAAGTGGAGGAGTTTAAGTATCTCGGGGTCTTGTTCACGAGTGAGGGTAGGAGGGATCGGGAGATCGACAGGCGGACTGGTTCAGAGTCTGCAATGATGCGGATGCTGAGCTGATTTGTCATGGTGAAGAGGGAGCTGAGCCAGAAAGCCAGGCTCTCGATTTACCGGTCGATCTACGTCCCAATCCTCACCTATGGTCATGAGCTTTGGGTAATGACCGAAAGAACGAGATCGCGGATACAAGCGGCCGAAATGAGTTTCCTCCGTAGGGTGGCCGGGCTCAGCCTTAGAGATAGGGTGAGGAGCTTGGACATTCGGGAGGGACTTGGAGTAGAACCGCTGCTCCTCCGGATCGAAAGGAGTCAGTTGAGGTGGTTTGGGCATCTGGTCAGGATGCCTCCTGGACGCCTCCCTGGGGAGGTGTTTCGGGCATGTCCTGCCGGCAGGAGGCTCCCGGGTTGACCCAGGACACGTTGGAGAGGTCACATCTCCAATCTGGTCCGGGAATGTCTTGGGTCCTGCCGGAGGAGCTGGTGGAGGTGGCCGGGGAGAGGACGGTCTGGAGCTCCCTAGTTGGGATGCTGCCCCCGTGACCTGGACCCGGATAAGCGGAGGAAGTCGACGACATTTACAAGGACAGAATTTAATATCTCCCTGAGATCTTCCTTTGCTCCCTGAAGGTGGCAGTATCTGTCGTAAGGCATTTCCTGTTTTCCGTGTTGCACTACGAGTAGCTATTTGGTGTTTTTGGCTCGCAAAAATTAATTAAATTTCTCTGTACTAGGATATCTCTGAGTTATTGTAGCACATAAGCATGCTTCAACAGTCCTCCAGCAGAACCCGAGCAGCCGGGACCTCAGGACGGCTGGGTGATGGTACGCAGGAAGCATAGAACCCTGCCTGTGGGCCACCACCAACCCGTCCACGTTTCTAATAGATTTTCCCCGCTCAGTGACGCACCCACTGACAAGCCGACTCTGATCATTGGCAGCTCCATAGTCAGAAACGTGGCATTAGAGACTCCAGCAACCATAGTTAAATGTTTACCTGGGGCCAGAGCGGGCGACATTAAATCTTACCTGAAACTGCTGGCTAAGGATAAGCGTAAATACAGTAAGATTGTTATTCACGCTGGCAGTAACGACACCCGGTTACGCCAATCGGAGGTCACTAAAATTAATGTTGCTTCGGTGTGTAAGTTTTCCAAAATAATGTCGGACTCCGTAATTTTCTCTGGCCCCCTGCCTGATCGGACCAGTGACGACATGTTTAGCCGCATGCTGTCCTTCAACCGCTGGCTGTCTAGGTGGTGTCCTGAAAACAATGTGGGCTACATTGATAATTGGAAAACTTTTTGGGGAAAACCTGGTCTGATGCGGAGAGACGGCATCCATCCCTCTTTGGATGGTGCAGCTCTTCTTTCTAGGAACATGGCCAATTTTATTAGTCCTCCATGACAACCCAGGGTCCAGACCAGGAAGCAGAGTCGTAGTTTAACCCACCCCTCTGCAGCTTCTGTACTGCTACCCACCCACTACCCCATAGAGACAGTGTCCTGCCCACAGCCAAAATCACACAGATTAAATATCAGGCTTAATAAAGCAAATCATGGAAATCTCATAAATATTAGAACAAATTCAACTGAGCAGAACACTAGAAAAATAAATGTGGGTTGTTGAACATTAGATCCATTTTTTCTAAGACTCTGTTAGTTAATGAGTTGATTTGTGATAATCAGATCTCTTTGCTCTCTCTCACAGAATCCTGGCTGCAGCAAGAGGACTATGTTAGCTTAAACGAGTCGACTCCTTCAAATTATTTAAATCATCATATTGCTCGAAGTACAGGGCGAGGAGGAGGAGTGGCAACCATTTTTCATTCGGACTTATTAATCAGTCCCTTACAGATTAATAGCTACAGTTCGTTTGAACATCTCATTCTTAGTTTTCCTAATCCAGATAGCAAAACTGTAAAACCACTCTTGTTTGTAGTTTTGTATCGTCCACCAGGCCCTTACTCTGAGTTTTTGGATCAGATCTCTGATTTTTTATCTGATTTGGTGCTAAATACTGATAAGGTCATAGTAGTGGGGGATTTTAATATTCATGTGGACATTGAGAATGATAGCCTCAATGTAGCCTTTAGTAATATCTTAGACTCAATTGGTTTTACTCAAAGAATACATAGCTCCACCCACTCCTGCCATCATACATTGGACCTTGTGCTGACTTATGGCATAGAGTGTGAGGAAATAACAATCTTTCCACATAATCCAGTCCTCTCGGACCACTTTCTGATAACCTTTGAGTTTTTTATAACTGAGTTCTCGAGACATGAAAGTAAATTTCATCATAGTCTGTCTCTATCTGACAACGCTGTTGCGTCTTTTAAATCAACTGTTCCATCTTTACTGTCCTCAGCATCTCAGAGGCATGTAGCAGAGGGCAATATTTTCAGTTCTAGCCCCTCACAAATTGATGCCTTAGTTCATCATGTTAATTCCTCTTTACGTGTGGCATTAGATGATGTTGCCCCTTGAAAAAAGAAGGTAATCAGGGACAGGAAGTTGGCTCCCTGGTTTAATTCTCATTTACGAGCCTTAAAACAAAACTCTAGGAAATTGGAGAGAACATGGCGCTCTACGTACCATGAGGAGGCCTACCTATCCTGGAAAAAAAGTCTTGTGCTTTAAAAAAATAAGCTTCGACAAGCTAGAACTACTTATTTTTCATCGCTAATTGAGGAGAATAAGAATAATCCTAAATTTATTTTCAGTACAGTTGCCAAACTTACACAGAATCATAGCTCTGAGCCATCTATTCCCTTAGCCCTCAGCAGCAATGACTTCATGGGACTTTTCACAAGTAAAATTAATACTAATGCAATTTCTTCTTCCTCAGTAAGTGAGGCAGCATCAGAGGTAGCTGTAGAACCTCATCTGTGTTTGAACTGTTTTGATCCAGTTGAGCTTTCAGAGTTATCAAAAATATTAGCTTCATCTAAACCTTCCACTTGCATTTTAGATCCAATCCCAACCAATTTATTTAAAGATGAATTTCCGTTGGTTACTGCCCCCATTCTAGATATAATGAATCTATCCTTAGTAAATGGATACATATCACTGGAGTTTAAGGTTGTTGTAATCAAACCTTTACTTAAGAAACCTTCTCTGGATCCAAATGACCCAATGAACTATAGACCAATATCTAACCTTCCATTTTTATCCAAAGTCCTGGAGAAAATAGTGGCCATCCAAGTATGTGAGCATTTAAACAATAATGCTCTATTTGAGGAATTTCAGTCTGGTTTTAGAGAGTATCACAGCACTGAAACTGCATTAGTGAGAGTTACAAATGATATTCTCATGGCCTCAGATAAGAATCTTGTGTCTGTTCTAGTCTTGTTAGATCTCAGTGCTGCCTTTGACACAGTTGATCACAATGTTCTTTTAGAAAGACTTGAACATGTTGTAGGGATCAAAGGAACAGCGTTAGGCTGGTTTAAATCCTACCTGTCTGACAGATTTAATTTTGTAAATGTACATGACAAATCGTCTTCATACTCCAGGGTTACTTGTGGAGTACCACAGGGTTCAGTGCTTGGACCAATTCTTTTTACTATATATATGCTCCCAATTGGTAAAATCATTAGACAGCATGGGATAAACTTCCACTGTTATGCTGACGATACTCAGTTATATTTATCCATTAACCCTGATGAACCTAATCGGTTAGTTAGATTACAGGCTTGTCTTGAACACGTAAAAAATTGGATGACTCAAAACTTTTAGCTTTCAAATCAAGACAAGACAGAAGTTCTCATCTTTGGACCTGAAATTCAGAAAAGGAAATTGCTTAGTCAGTCATCTGACCTGAATGGCATTAAATTAGTCTCTGAGAACAAAGTAAGGAACCTTAGTGTTGTCTTTGACCAGGACATGTCATTCAAATCCAAGGGTTAAACAGGTTTGTAGGATTTCCTTTTTCCACCTTTGGAATATTGCTAAGATTAGATGCATCCTTTCCAGGAGTGATGCTGAAAAACTAGTTCATGCCTTTATTACATCAAGACTGGATTACTGTAATTCATTACTGTCAGGCAGTGGCGGTTCTACATGGAATTACTCCCCGGGCGAGGCCCCCTTTGAGCAGTAGTAAGCACAGTTTTGCTTCATGAGGGGCGGTGGGGCAGAAAACCAGTCAGTATCTGGTGTGGCCACCATTTGCCTCACACAGGGCAACACATCTCCGTCACATAGAGTTTATCAGGTTGTTTATTGTGTACTGTGAAACTTTGGTCTACTCCTCTTTAATAGCTGTGTGAAGTTGATGAATGTTGGCAGGAACTAGAACACGCTGTTGTATACGCCGATCCAGAACATCCCAAACATGCTCAATGGGTGACATGTCTGGCAAGTATACTGGCCATGCAAGAACTGCAATGTTTTCAGCTTCCAGGAATTGTGCACAGATCCTTGCAATATGGGGCCATGTGTTATCATGCTGCAACATGAGGGGATGGTCATGGGCACACCAATGGGCCTCAGGATCCCATCACGGTACCTCTGTGCATTCAAAATGCCATCAATAAAATTCACCCATGTTTGTTGTCCATAACATACCCCTGCCCATACCTGTACCCCACCGCCACCATGGGCTGCTCGTTCCACAACACTGACATCAGCAAACCACTCACCCACACGACGCCACACACGCAGTCTGCCATCTGCCCTAAACAGTGAAAACCGGGACTCATCTGTGAACAGAGAGCCTCTCCAGCATGCCAAATGTCATCGAATGTGAGTGTTAGCCCACTGAAGTCGGTTACGACAACAGACTGCAGTCAGGTACAGACCCCGATGAAGATGAGCGTGCAGATGAGCTTCCTTGAGACGGTTTCTGACAGTTTGTGCAGAAATTCTCTGGTTATGCAAACAGATTGTTGCTGCAGCTGTCCAGGTGGCTGGTCTCAGGCGATCCTGGAGGTAAACATGCTGGATGTGAAGGTCCTGGGCTGGTGTGGTCACACGTGGTCTGTGGTTGTGAGGCCGGGTGGATGTACTGCCAAATTCTCTGAAACGCTTTTAGAGACGGCTTATGGTAGAGAAATGAACATTCGTTTCATGCGCGAAAACTCTGGTAGATATTCCTGCAGCAGCATGACAATTGCATGCTCCCTCAAAGGTTGCAGTGTCTGTGGTATTGTGCTGTTTGATCAAACTGCATATTTCAGGGTGTCCTTTTATTGTGGGCAGTTTAAGGCACACCTGTACATTATTCATGCCATATAATCAGCCCCTTGATATGCCACACCTGTGAGGTGGGGTGGATTATCTTGCTAAAGGAAAAGTGCTCACTAACGCACGTAGGCAGATTTCCGAACAATATTTAAGAGTCATGGGTGTTTTGTACATGTAAAAAAAAGTTTCTGAGGTTTGAGTTCAGTTCATGATAAATAGGAGCAAAAACAAAAGTGTTGCATTTATATTTTTGTTCAGTGTAAATCAGCTCATGAAACAGAAGTAGAGGACTGACAGATACACACCTCTGCAGGCAGGTTCAGTGTCATTCCACTGTGGATTGTTGGGGTTTATGCACTCAATGGTGACAGACCCTTGTTCCATGGTGTAGCCAGGATCACAACCAAACTCCACCAATGCTCCAAGTGCCCAAGTGTTGTCACTGCTGGTGAGATTCCCATACCTCACAAAAGGTTCGTAACAGTGCCCTGTTGTAAAAGCTGCAGAGAGAAGAGGGATATAACATAAAACAACGATCCACATCCTTGGTAAAGGATTAGCTTTAATAGTTTTGCTGTTCAGTTGAGTATTTCATGTTCTGCTTAGTGGATTTAATTACATTTGGAAACTTAAGGTTCCAATAATGTCAAGGGCAAAATTTTAGACAGAAAAACATCTGAAGCTGTTTGAAATTAATCACTTGTAGGAGGTGGAGAAATAACTCAAATAAGACTCAAAGTGCTGTTAAAGCAACACTAAAGAGGTTTTACCAATTTAAACTAATGTGTTACAAATGGTTTCAGTGGCTCTTGAACCAAAACGTTGAGCAGCTTCACACTGGACTGCACTCTGCAGCCCTCTGCTGGCCATAAATAAATACATTTGTGGTTTGTGTCGGCACCAAGCCCCCACAAAGCGGCTCTAAAATTGGTCTCAACCTGGAAATACCAAAAATTGCAGTTCCACCCTCATCCACTAGGGGCTGGTGTCAGAAGCGAGCAAATCCTCATTGACTCCCATGTTAAAAATACCAATTTCACAGCAGAAATAAACATGTTTACAGCCTGGTACCAGAACATGTTTTTGGTTTAAATGATCTAGTTTACACTCATGACAACTCTGAGGGGGGTGAATGTTTTCCCCACTCTTCTGTTTAAGTGTATTAAAAGCCTAAAACTCTGTATAATTAATGAGCATCAGACCCACGTGACCACAGAGCTAGCTCCGGGGAAAGGCCTCAGTAGAGCCTCGGTCTGGCCTGGAAACTGTTCCGGGATTTTGAGTCTCTGTGTTTGTGTATTCTTGTTTGGATATTATTTGTGCAATTGTTGGACAAAATGACTTGCTGTGGCATTAATTGCACTAATAGAGCGTCCAAGGAGTCTCCACTTCATTTTTTTCGGTAAGTAAAATTATATTTATGTATTTTAGGTCACTGCCGAGCTGAGCTTAGATTTTAACATGTACTGTTTAACCATGACATTTAAATGTAATAGGGTAAAACCCAGCGCATTTAACATAATGCTGCACTTTACAAAATGGGTTGAAATATAACATGTTGGTGGAGCTGGGCTCCCACTATCGGCTTGTGGAGCTCTCGGGAGACCGATGTTTTCCACCCGGTTCCCCCTCCCCGCAGCTCGGTCCATCTCTGTCTGATCGTGGCTTCTGTCTGCTGCGCGGGCTGCCGGCTTGTGGAGTTCTGGGATGGAAACCTTTCCACCCGGTTCTCCCCAGCGGCAGCTCTGCGCATCTCAGATCTCAGTCTGCAGGACGGTTCTCCGTTCTGCTCCCCCTGAAGCTGTTTTCTCATCTGACAACATTCTGATTAAAACTGCTGCTGGCCATGTCAAACAGCACAAATGAACAAATCTTGTAGATGTTAAAGATAAAGAAACAGGAAGGGAAACACAGATTGCCCTTCTTATCGACCCGACCTGCCCTGTCAGTCTTCTCGGCAGGGATCTCATGGTAAAAATGGGTATTTCAGTTGTCTGCACACCTGAGGGCATGACGTCTGAAATAAACTCACCCGACGCACAAGACATATTTGTCTTAAAAGGCGATGGACAGCCCCACTATTGGTGGTCTTTGGACATTACGTCCACCTCTGTAGCTAAGACGCTAACTAAACTGGCATTTGACAAGGCTCATGAGATGAACTATGACCCTTTTGGGATGTCTCATCTTATGCCACCTGATGAATTTCATGACACACTTAGATTCAAAAAAGAACCTGGACCCGACATGACCTATGACACTAAGTTTCACAAGATGAGAGATCATTCTATCACCCTCCAGCACTTGTATGTCACAGCAACCGGGAATGCTGTTTGTTCGGTTATCTTGTCCCCGGAACAACGCAATCTCTCCCGCATCACACCCGCACACTTATCTATACTGAAGGAACCACATCGCCCTTGGAAGAGCATGGCTCATGTCCTTGCTTCTGCAATGGACACAACTCTTGATAATGATGACCCTGGTGGGTGGAAGAGCAGCTCATTTTCCGGCACATGCAGGCTTGCACTAGGCTGGAAGTTGAGACAAAGTTGACAAGTTTCTGTACGCAACAGTTCTGGAGGACTTTTCTGAACTTAATAACATTCCTTCTGACTTATGGTCCAGAGGTCCTACTGACGTAGGACTAATTAAGGATTGTTTACCTGTTCAAGTGCATGCAAAATCTAACTACAGACCACAAGTTTGACAGTATCCAATCAGCAAAGAAGCTGAAGATGGTATAACCCCAGTGATTCAAAGTCAGGAATCATCAGACTTTCCCCCGAATCAACATGTAATCCTATGTTTCCTGTTAAGAAACCTGGCAGGAACGAGTGGAGGCTGGTACAAGATCTTAGACTCGTGAACCAGTCTGTAGTTCGAGTGGCATCAGATGTGCCAAACCCACACACCACACATGTATGTCACAGCAGCCGGGAATCTATGTCCAGCTGTGTACCTCTGGCACACTCTCAGATGACTCTTTATGCAGATGACATACTGATAACATCTGACACATATGACCGTTGTAAGGAAAGCACATTACAGGTCTTACAACACCTCTATGAACAAGGTCACAAGGTTTCACTCTCGAAATTGCAGCTATGGAGACCTTCAGTGACGTATCTTGGTCACACTCTTTCCGGTGAAGGAAAAGCTCGTTTAGAAACCCGCAAAACTGCTATTCAAGACGCAGCTAAACCTGTAACAAAGAAACAAACGATGTCATTTTTAGGTCTCTGCAACTTTTGCAGAACCTGGATACCTGATTATGCATTCATGGTGTCTCCAGACTACCAGTTATGGTAAAGACCTTGCTCTAAATGACAGAATCAGTTGGACTCCTGAGGCAGAGAAGGCTTCTGTGGAGTTAAAAAAGCTTTTACAAACGAACGTTGTTCTGTCCTTGCCTGACTACTCCAAAGACTTTTTCCTCTCTGTGGATGCAGCAGAGGGGCACATGAAAGCTGTGTTAACTCAGAAACATGGCAGCCAGCACAGATCTATAGCTTACTACTCAAAGAAGCTAGATTGAATTGCAGGCGGTTTGCCCAGCTGTGTATAGGCGTGTGCGGCCGCTTCAGAGGCTGTGACGCAGAGCGCTGGCATCGTCCTGATGCATCATCTCACGTTACAAGTACCGCACTCTGTTGCATTGATCCTGCTGAAGACGAACCTATCCTTTCTGACACACAATAGACATCTCACACATGCTTCTACATTGCTGTTGCAGTCACACATTGAAATAGTGTGCTGTGGTAGTCTGAACCCTGCTTCACTCTTACCTACTGGCATTGATGGAGAACAACACTGCTGCAAAACACTCACGAATGACATGACGAAACCACGTGTTGACATGTTAGAGATTCCTCAGCCTGACTACATCTGTCTTTATGTTGATGGGTTGGCTACTAAAGATGCTTCTGGGAAAAACTTGGTTGGTTATTGAGGCAAAACCATTGCCCTCTCACGGCTCTGCCCAGGCAGCTGAACTGGTGGCTGTGACCAGAGCCTGCCAGCTCTTCTCAGGACGAGACATAAACATTTTCACTGATAGTCAGTATGTTTAAGCTTTAGTGCACCACTTTGCTCAGATTTGTTAAAAAAAGGGGCATGGTCACATCCTCTGGGAAACAGCTGACTCACTGGAAGCAGTACAACTCCCACGTGAATTGTCTGTGCAAATGCCGTTCACATCAGACAGATGACTGACGTCACGAGAGGCAGTCATTTTGCAGACAGAGCAGCTAAGGCTGCAGCCCCCCTGCCTCTCACCCTTGGAGCTTCCTGTTACAGCTCCGACACATTCTCACGCGACTTCCTACGTGAAGCACAGATTTCTGCTCCCGATCAGGAACAGCTGTCCTGGCTTGGATTTAAGCCTGTACATATTGATGGTGTGTTGCATGTAAATGACAGACCCATGTTGCCCAAGTCTTTGTGTCCCACTGCTGCCCTTGTGGGTCGTGGGTTGACCCATGTCTCAAAGGGAGGGGGGGTAGATGTCTCACTTAATCAATAGTACATTTCATGCTCTTAATTTTCCTACTTTTGCTAATGACTATTGCAGAAAATGTTGAATCTGTATGAAAAGCAACACTCAAGGGCGTTTAAGACCAAAACGGGGACAGTTTCCTACACCTGCTTACTCATTTCACACGATACACATGGACTTTAGTGAACTATCACAGATGCGAGGAACAAAATATTGCTTGGTGGTAATAGACGCTTTATCCAAGTGGCCCGAAATATATCCTACAAAGAAAAATGATCTTTGGTGTGTTCTTGCTGTGTTCAAGTTCTAAAGCAGAACTTAGAAATAATGTAGTTGGGATATTAAAAAACAGCCAAATTCAACACAGCAATATTACAAAAGAACAATCAGCCATGACAGCTTTATCCAAAAATGAACAGATAATTATTCTACCGGCAGACCAAGGAAGAACCACAGTAGTTATGGACAAAGAAAAACATAAACAACAGATGAAACAGACGTTAGAAGACAAAAATACATACAAAATACTTAAAAAAGACCCGACAGAAAGCATTAAGAAACATATGAAAAAATTATTGAAGTCACTACAAGAAAATGGCTAAATAACAGAAAAAATGTACAAACACTGGATTCCTACAGCAAACATAACACCAAGAATCTATGGAACACCAAAAATACACAAACGAAACACCACTTAGACCAATAGTAGACAGCATAGGTACACTGTAGCGTTGTTAATCTACATAACTAGTGTAGCGTTGTTAATCTACATAACTAGTGTAGCGTTGTTAATCTACATAACTAGTGTAGCGTTGTTAATCTACATAACTAGTGTAGCGTTGTTAATCTGCATAACTAGTGTAGCGTTGTTAATCTACATAACTAGTGTAGCGTTGTTAATCTACATAACTAGTGTAGCGTTGTTAATCTACATAACTAGTGTAGCGTTGTTAATCTACATAACTAGTGTAGCGTTGTTAATCTGCATAACTAGTGTAGCGT